ATAGCAGTTTTTCCCTGGTGAGATCAAACTCAGCCATAGTGGTCATTTCTGCACTAATTGCACTACTATAAAGGGGGATTTTTAACCCCAGGCAGTTTTTCTAAATCTAGGTGTGTTTATTTTGTTGCAAAACCACACTTTGCACTCAGACCACTTACACAGTGAGAGTTTTTGCTGCTATATCCACACAGGTGAGAGAAATAATTTGGAAATAGTTCCTGTAAAAAAAAATTGAAGTCATTTTGCAATCTTCATTTATGCCTTGGAGACCCTTCTTTGACCAGCTTCCCCAAGGGAAAGCAATCAACAACAAAAATCAGCAGATCTGATTCATCTGCATATGTGCAGGTGTGAGTGTGTTTCCTTAACCGTCTTGTCCAAAAGTGCTGTTAAAGTATTGTAAGTAATGAAGAAAGTTTCATTTTGCTAGCCTCTGGGCATTTCATTCAGTTTTAAGGTAATTAGAAATATCTCTAATAGAACTGTAGATACTCTGGCAAAACAATGAAGCTCTTAATATTAAACTACAATTCCTATAGCAAGTTAGCCAGTCAGGGACCTCTTAAAGTGCCTTTTCCATTCCATTGTGGTTGATAAGCATACCCGTATCCCTTGGCAGAACACTTCTCAACTGGATGTCCCCTGCAGTGTACCAACAGTGTTGCCAAATACAGGTTATTTTGGGGCATACTGGAAGCAAATGTGAATCTTTGTGTGCTCACTGAGAATGCACCATCAGCTGTCCTCTTCCTGCGTTGAAGGGTTCTGGTTGTCAACAGCTGTGACAGCATTGGTGCTAGGAGGTAACAAATCCTCAAGTAGGTCAGTCTCATGTGGCTTAAGATAATACATCATAATTAACATCTTGGACTCCTCCACCCAAGACAGTAGAAAGATAGTGCTGCTTCTGAACCATCTCAGGTTTTTGTCAATGAGACAATCTGTGCAGCAGAGATTGTTTCTTTGCTTCACTCTAAATGTCTGGCTTTGGTAAGTTTTGGTAAGTTACTTTGATCATTACCAAAGTAATGAGAAACACCGAGACATGGTGACAGCATCTGCTTCCAGGAAAAACAAGATGCACTGTTTCTTGAGAATGGTCTTTGGATCCTTTGTGTCTCCCTGGTCCTCTCCGCTCGTCCCTCCCTGTTCCCCAGCGTGCGAATCCAAGATTAACTAAACCGTCTGTGGTCTACAGACCTTCCTACTTTGTGCAAAATGTCTGTTTGATTTCAAAGGTATACTATCTAGAGATAAATATTTTGCCAGCTGTGCTGATTTCCTCAATCAAGATTATATGTTACTCTTCTTTCAAATGTATCTCACTGTAAGGCACACATTTCTCACCTATGTTGCAGGCTGTGATTAAATAAGAATCTTGCCAGTAACCACTGACAGTAAAACTTTTATTGTTGTGTATGAAATGATTATGTGCATCTGTATGTCCTCCTCTGATAACTTAATAAAAATATTTTATTAACCTTTGTTAAAAAGGTTATGAGTATCCTTGTGCAGGGAAAACCTGCTTCATTGACGATAGTGATACCGATTGTGCATACATTTGGACTTTCTTGGTTTGCTTGAGAATGCCTCATCTTCCTGGTCCCTGTTCCAAAAGGAAAAAATATAACTAATCTCAATGCCCTAAAATTGTTCTTGGTTTGCAAGATGGATGTTAGTGCTGCAGTGTGGGATCTATTTCTGCTTAATGTGCGTCTTTGCTATGGATAATCTTGATCAATCTAAAATCTTTTTAGCTAAACATACCTTCTCACTGAACATGAGTAGATGTTTAAAGGGCAAGCATAGATAATCTGGCTTCTGCAATACTCTCCTGGAATTATTTAAAGAAATAATTAAATGTTTTTACTGTTCTCACTATTTAACATTGAGGATGGTTATCATGGGCCGAAGGCTGCCTGAAATGTCTCTGAAGCAAGCAATTCTTAAGATTTTTATTTCCAACCCTTCCTTAAATGAAGAACCTAAGTGTTGTCATTTTCCCATTTTTTTTTTTTTTTTTTTTTAAACAGACTGGAGTGGGTAAAAACCGCTTGGGGATTATTCATTGTCTTTCAGTGCACTGAAATATAACCCTGTTTCCTGATCTGTTGTGTGAAAATTTGCCACTAGTATTCTGGGTGCATCAATATCCATTTAAAGTCCTCCAATAAGCAATGGAAAGAATGATGAGGATTTGAGGAGAAATGTATTTGCATGAAAATTATATTAAGAAAGATACTTACTGAGTCAATTGCAGGTCTCGCTCGTCTAAAACCATTGGTAAGCTGGAACTGAAATACTTAAAGATGTGAGCAGCCTCCAGGGTACAGCCAAGCGATCAGAACAGCTGCAGTGGAGCAGACCGGCAGTCCATCTGGCAAGCATTTTCTAGCAGCAGTTGGGTTATACCCAAGGAAGAGTAAGAAACAGGATGAACACATGTGATAATTCCCCCAAGTACTCTCCCCATACTTCAAGCTGAGTGCCAGGGCTCTTCTGCTGTGCCTTTTTGGTTGGAGGAACCTGACAGACACTGAGACTCAGTCTGATGTGTTTGATACTATGTGCTAGAGTAGGGTTAGATAAGATTTCATTAGGTATTTTTACCTTGAGGGTAATTTATCACTATTCATCTAAAGCACCTGTTATCATTTCTGCAAAACAAGTAGGAAAGTGGTGATCTGAGCTAGTTGAGGTCGTGGTGCCTGGTTACCTGGCGCTCCTCCAAATACCCTGGTCTGTTTTCTTTGGGAGATTGTGCTTTCCTGCAAACTAGACCTGGCAATGTGAATGTGTGGAGGCCTGGGGGGTTCCTGCTATTGCAGACTCATCGGTGCTTATAGTTGTAGTTACTGCACACTCTTAGCTGTTCTCTTCTGATACAGGGTTAAGGTTATCTGACTCAATGTCACAGTTTCCAGTGACATTAAGGTAACGTTGGTTGCAGTGAGTTCGTTGTTCTCGCCTGATTCTGTAACTGCTGTATTTCGTTCAGTGTATGGCTGTTTAATCTTCAAAGCAGAATGACCTGAAATATCTAGGTGGTTGTGTATTGCTCTCTCCATGCACACACATCCCACTTGCTGTATTATCTCCTCTGGATGGTTGTGATCGGATGAGTTCCTTGTGCTTGGTTTGGAAGTCTGCAAACAGTTCATGATTTGGTAATGGCTCCCTACCACTGGATTTTATTCTTCTGGACATTTCAACAGAGGCAGCCTAACAGGTGTCAGGAAATGATGCAAGAGTAATCCCTTTTTGTTTGTTGTTTTTGTGGTGATTATGGGGCTAGCTGTTTCTTTGATCGTTTTTCTAGTCTGAACGCTCTGCCTGCAAAGTTTTGACCTTAAACCTTTTTCTTTCCAGAGTCACAATCACCTGACTGTCCCACTGTCAGATCCAGCCCTGCGCTGTCGTATTCTCTGGATTAATTCTGCTTATCCTACCAGAGCTATTGCAAACCTGCATTTCTTCTGTTTGGGAGCTTGTGTACAGTGCCTCTGAATAGCTTTTGTAAAGATTAAATAGTTTTTCAGTAGGAGCAAAGCGCTATGGGAAAGGAAAGAAGCATGCAGCCATGACAGTTTGACTGAATCTCTCCTAAGACCCCAGGTTTCAGAATCTGGTTTGATCCTTGCTGTCTTTCTTGATCTTTTAAATTGTCTTGAGTGCTGCTGTTCTATATTTCTGAGGCTGGCTAAACTGATAGAGGCTTTTTTTTTAGCAGGGAACTTGAAAGATTTTAGGGTTTTATATTTTTTTTGAAACTTGAAAGATTTGAGGCTTTAATATTACTTTTACCTGTGTTACTTTTTCCCGTTGCTATTTGCATGTCCTGGTTGTCCTTCTATTGAGAATAAATGAATAGATTTATTCAGTAGAGTGCATTGGGGAGTCCATTTGTACGAATGCAGAAGCTGGCACCAGTGACCCCTGAATGAGGAATAAGACACGTAACATGAAAATTGGTTATAGTGCAATCCTGCTTTGACAATCCTGACTTCCTAAGGAGTTCATCGTTCTGTGATTGTACTGTTGCTTGCTTCTTACCCAAACCAAGGAACTTCATTTCTCCTGGAACAATTTTGATTTTAAATCTGTTCTAGGATTTTTTTGAGGACGCTCTTGTGATGATTTTATGATGGGCTGCTTCTGCTTTTTATCAGAAAGAAATGAAATATAGTTCCGTTTATAGGTAAATCCTTTGAATGAAGCTACTACCTGTGCTCCCTACAATTTAAATTTTTTTCTAGGTACTACAAATTTGACAGATTATACTCTGCCTGACTCAGGTCCTTTGCTGTTCTACATGACTTGATGCTCAGTTAGATGATCTGTCTGGCCATAGTGACATTTAATCCCTCTGAAGATAGGTTCTACTTATGTCTTTGTTGGAGGCAAAATTTATCTTTCCATAGGTCCAGCCATTAATTTTGAATGTGTTCAGTTGAATACACTGGATGTTTTTGTTTATAATTTTTCTACTTCAGTGAAGATAACATCAGTGATCTGATATGCCTTACAAAATGTGTTGCAACTGTCTAAAAAATTCTTAATGATATAGAATTGTGCTCCTTCCGTGTTCTGTTGATTTCTGACGTATTCTTATTAACTTCAGAATTGTGCAAGAGATGTCTAGCATAAGAGATTTAATAATTTCATACAGCGACTAAAATGGAGTAGAAATGAAACAACTTGGTAGACAGAATGCTATAAAATCAAAATTAAAGTAGGATAAAAAGCAATGTTTTGTACTATTTTACACATACAAAATAATCTCCCCCAGAAGTATATGTGTAATTTTTACTGTCTTGGAAGTCTTACAAGTTGTCTGAAATCTTAAAGCTACTGTTCATACACATGTGCAGCTTTTCTTTTAAAAAAACAAAACCAGAACTCTGAAGGCAAAATAAATATGCAATGCAATAAAATATCAGTTTGTTCTTACCTGGTAGGGATAGGGTTGACTAAAATTTTTGTACCTTTGTCTTAAACAGAATGTTGGCTTTGAAAGCTCAGGGAAGAAGCAGCAGAGAGAAGAAAGTAACACAGTGGTAAGTATGTTATTTTTCTTTCCTTTGAACCAACTGCACAATATATTAAAATAGAAATGCTCTTCTTTATTCATATGTTGTAAGTCACCTCCAAAGTACTTGAATTTTATTCTGCATCATCTTTCATGTTGTTCTGAAGGCAAATTTTTAGTTACGAATATCTGTTGAAGAGCCAGGTGAATGATATGTATTTACATGTAATTGTGTGGATAAATAGGAAGGGGAATATATGGGGAAACTAAGTTTCAGGAAAATATTTCTGTTTTATAGCTCAATGTCCATTATTAAATGTTTTGGTTTGTGGAGCTTTAGCATTTTATACTGCTTTTTAAGTAATTTGGTTTTAGTTCTTAGGAAAGATAAGCGTATTTTTGAAAAACTTGGATAAAAGATGCTTGAAAAAATGCTTTGAATGCTTGTTGAGCCTCTTGCTGTCCTTTCTGGTTTGCTGATCTAAAGCCTAGGCGAACATCACATCATGTCATTTCTCTCTTATTGGTGTATTAATGTTCTTTAGCTAGAGAGCATACTTAAGAACATGAAAAGTATTAAGAAGCCAAATGAAGTTCAATTTTCTGTTTAAAGCTCTATGGAAAAGCAGCACATGTTCAGAATCAGCTTTTTTCTTTGTTAAATGGTGCCAGTGCAGATGGCACTAAGTTGCCTTTGCCTTGTATTGTAAGCATTTCTAGAGGCAAGTATTTCTCATTAATAGAAAGAATGCCCAATAGAATATTTTGTTTTCGGAGCTTCTCTATGAACTTCTGTGGAGGAGTTGTTATTGCGTACCACCCCCCTACCCCCCGCGAAAAAAACTCCAACAACATATGACAGCAGCTTCCATCTGCTCTGATTTTATTAATAGTGCTGCTCAGACTGTGGAAATGCTAATAAATATTGACACTTCAGTGACTGGAATTTCGAGACTATAAAATATCAGTTTAAAACATAGAAGATTTTCTGCATATTTTATCTGGCATTGCTACAAACAGCACATACTTAAGAAGATGGAAGCATGTGCACATGCTCGCTTTTCCCAGCCTTTTGTGTACTCTACAAGGCTGTAGGCTTTGTGTTGTGCTTTGGCATTCTCTGCTGAGCTAAGAAACTGTGCTGTTGCTGCACTGCCTCAGCTGTGCTTACTGCTCTGTAAGATTTGTTGCTTCCTATGGGCAAATGACTAGCAGTGGTCCCGTCCCGTCCCGTCCCGTCCCGTCCC